GGTGCTGCAGCTCCTGGTCCGTTCGCACGCTGGTTCCTGACTCCTCGGAGACTCAGCAGGTCTTCCTTACCTCGCCAACCACCCTCCTACTCAAATGCCAATCTGTATCCAAACCGTAAGTCACGGCTGCCCGTCGTGCTGCGGTCGCTTCACATCATCCTGGGCTAGCCCTATCATTATTACATGCTTCTCCGTTCGTGATTTTTGTTCGTATGATTCATAGCATACGAACGCTAAGGTTATTCATTCAGTCAGAATAACTCAGTTTGGCGGGCTTTCGGGAGCAGATGCACAAACGCTTTTGTTCAAACACACGAACTAACCTCATTCGTATGGTTTAATTAAATTGGATAGTGTTTGGTTGCATGCACACATATCCTTTATTATGGGCCATTCGTACATTTTACCGAACACTCTATTTTCGGGATTTTTAAGACTTCCGATTAGTTAACTTAATTTTGTATTTATGTTGGTTATACCGACCTCTGGTGGTCAGACTAGTTATTACTTATTGTATTATGTGAAAACCTATTAAGGATAAGTGTTGTATTGGTATGGGTAGTTCAGTAATTTTTCTGCTCGGCTCATAATCTGATTTTCATGCTATTACATATGTTTCTGTTCCACGATATGTTCTGAATTTTACAGCTGCCTTTAATGAAATACAGGTTCCACATTTTTGTCTCTAGTACATAGATATCTAAACACGTACGTTATATACACATACCATTTTTAAGTGTTCAAAATGTTATGCATTATGTGAATGGGGCATAGATTAGATGTTTGGGCGATTTAAGTCTATAAGTGATTGTAGACCTCTTATGTTTCAGTCTCAAACAGCATCTACAGGGGGCTGCTACATTTTTCATCTGGAATAGGTCAGTAATTTACGATTACATGGCCTGGATACTTATGTGTAATTTCTACATTACTAGGTTTAGGCCATTCTTACAACTTTTGATTTCTTTGGTTCCAGTCTCCTACATTCGGATAATTTACCGGTAGGTACATTGTTAGCAGTGGGGAATTAAGGGTACATATCGATATGACCTGCAAAAACTCACAATCTCGTAGGTTACTGCAGATCGCCTGTATCGCCTTATCCGGCTACTTACTTTGCTCATCAGGTACGTCCTTTTTTCGCGATTTTCTCTCAATCTCCCTACCCCGTCAGGTTCATAGTCTAGTTATACACTGGCATTGGAGCATAGGAGCCTCTAGGTATGTTTTCTGGCTTTCTACGCCTTACGTTAGTGGTCCCATGAGGCCATCTCCCATCCTCATTTCGGAGGTACGACATTCATTCGGGCCAATTAATAGTTGGCCGCCTCGCTTGGTTGCATAGAGAGGGCCTCACCTGTCACTCCAATTCTGTCTTTTGCTGTTATTTGTCACAGAGAGTCCAACACCCCACCATAATGTCAGTTTTTTGTCAACACTTTGTGGCCCTAAAGACACCAGCTTGTGCCATTTGTGCCTCCAACTCTCACACAGCAAATCTGTGTCCTAATACCCCGGAGGTAAATACCTTCTGCCCTCCTCCCAACATGACGCCCACAGGGAGACCAGGCAAGATCCTTAAGGATAAACTGGGCCGCGATAGTGTTTCTGGGGAAAGTCACAAGTATGTAATAACTTTAATACGGGCACTTGCAGTTACAGTGCCTGCAGGCTACTTCATTTCTGCTCCCAATGTTTCCGGGCTCACTCTAAAGTAATGTGTCCAAATAAATTATACCCCAAGCAGTACCTTTCGTCTCTTAATGTCTCACTGCTGAAAGAGTTGTTGTGTGGTCACCCATCTCAACATCTAGTGGAATTTTTGGTGACAGGTTTCACTTTGGGATTTCACACAGGTATTATCCATATGCCTACAGGGGTCTTAGAATGTAAGAACTTACAGACAGCCGTGGCAGATCCTGATGCTATTAACCGACTACTCCAGAAAGAAATTGACCAAGGGTATGTAATTGGCCCTTTCGATTCTCCACTTTTCGCGGTATGGAGAACTAACCCCATAGGTCTGGTCACAGGTAAATCCTCCAATAAGCAAAGGTTGATTCTTGACCTCTCTGCTCCCCATGCATCACCCACCCCAAGTCTTAACTCACTCATTCCGTCAGAAGAATTTTCTCTACAATACGCAACCATATATAATGCCATCACGGCCACCCTCTCAGCAGGGGTGGGTGCATGGCTTAGCGGACATAGTGAATGCGTTTAAGCTATTTCCTATTCATCCGTCCCTGTGGCGTTTACATGGTGTTAAATGGCAAGGGGCATACTATTTTTTTCACGCGTCTCACATTCGGTTCCAAGAGCAGCCCAAGAATTTTTGATATGTTTGCCGAGACGTTGTGTTGGATACTGCTCAACACCTGTAGATGCACCACCATTATTCATTACCTGGATGATTTTCTTTCCATAGAAAGTAACCTGTTTCCTCCCAGTAGCCTACTACACGACTGTTCGAACAACTAGGAGTACCTATTTCACCGAC